CTGGATCAGCAGCTGACCCCCTTCCCCAACCGTGATATGTCACTTTCCATTTTTCATTCAGCAAAACAGCTGTTTACCCAGATTTCTAAAGCATGGCAAGTGTCCAAAAAACAAAGTATCTCTGTTTCTTTGTGTGTATAAGCAAGAATTTGTGTCATGCCATGGTAAATTAACACTAGGCATCAAATCCCAAAGACATTTTAAAAGAAAAGTCTCTTAGGCACACCACCGTTGATAGATGCATCTGCACCTGATGGATTCATAAAGTGAGGACAGTGTCTTTGATGTTTGGATAATGTGTGCGCAGCTTGGCTACATTTGTATGCAGTTCCTCTGCTTATGGAGCTGCATTCCAAATAAGAAGTGCCTAGAATCTCAATAAAGGACATTAATTTTACATCTCATGGGGGGGTGGGTTTCAGGACAGGGGTGTCAGTACAGGCATTCCTCTAGCATGTTTGTTTTCTGCTTGTATTCCCAATGGTTAGAGACCGTTTTGCGCTGTTCAGCAGGAAGACAGTAGCTGATTTCTTCAAAGAGGGAGGATGTTGGAGGGAAGATCTGGTCGTTGCCCCAGTGACTCACAGGCCACTAACTGGCAGGATGCCAGACCTCTGGACAAACCAGAAGATGTACACTTTGGGCTTCCAGATTGGTTTGGAGCATCATGTGTTTGGCTCCTTTGTGCGCATGACTGGGAACAGTTTTCCTGCAAGTTTATGTCTATCTTGATGGTTGGTGTCCGTCCACTGTATGCCATTACCTCTCAGTTGGGGAGCACGAGCAAAATATTCCACCCACTGGCACAGATTGGGAGGTCAGTTTGAACCCAAGTTCCTCCATTCCGATTCAGTTGCCATCATGTCCACATATCCCTTTCCTCTACAGTAAAGGGATGATTTTCATAAGTTCCATTGGGATCTAAGCACACTGGCTTTCATCATCAGCTTTCCATTGCTGGTATGAGAGTCTGGGTGTCCCAGAAAAGCTTTACGCAGAAGACCAAGAACTGAGAGATGCTGAGGGACACTGGGTTGTGACGAAGCAGCAGCTGGGAAGAAGAAGCTGTTGTGGGAGTCTGTGTGTCAGACAGGGTACTTCTGTGTGTCAGAGTACCAACCTGATAGGTTCAGGTGTCTGTGGGTTAGCCAGAACTGATAGGTTCAGGGTCTGTGCTTCAAGTTAAGGGTTCTGGGTGAACCAAACTGTATGCTTGTATGAGTAAGAATAAGCCACGTTACTTTATCCTATTCACCTGATTGTTTATTTTTCCCTGTGTGTATTTAAAATAAACCTTATTCTTTTTATTGTTTAAAAATCCATCCCTGGTCTGTGTGACTTCTTAGAGGGAATGGTTGGTGGCAGCTTAGTGTAACTGTGTGACATATCCCAGTAGGTCTGGGTTTGTCACAATCATGTCCACATATCCCTTTCCTCTATAGTAAAGGGATGATTTTCATAAGTTCCATTGGGATCTAAGCACACTGGCTTTCATCATCAGCTTTCCATTGCTGGTATGAAAGTCTGGGTGTCCCAGAAAAGCTTTACGCACAAGACCAAGAATAGTGTATGATGGGTGTGGGAGTGTGTGTGTTAATTGCCTTTGGCATTGGAAGTATTCTGTAGGGTGGTCTCATGTGGAAAATGTGGTTGTCTAAGAAGTGGCACATGCAACCATAAAGCATCACATGGATCTTATAGAGCCATTTCCAGTGTGGAAAGGGCTGGTTTGAGAGAAGAATCCTATCTCTTTGAAATGAAGGAATCTGCAGTGTCATTAAATAAGAGACCCACAAATGGAAAGGACATCATTCAGGGAGAAATTCTGGTTTATTTAGCATACTTAGTGGTTTCAGGTGGGTGGGTTTTTGTGCTATCTTCTTTTTACTTGGAGAGTTGAATTCTCTGACGTGACTAATTTGTTTCAACCAGATAACTTTACCTTAAAATATAATTACAAGACCAAGGAAGCCTCTACAGAAAGAATCAATGTTCATCTCCCGAAAACAGTCTTTTGCTAATGCCACAATAATCAGTCCTTGGATGGTACTGCTTTCCTTCTACCTGTCAGATTCGTAGTTGCTTCTTGTTTTGAGGCAATAGTTTGGAAGGGGAATATTAACCTCAGAGCCATAAAAAAATTGGTTTACCTAATCACAGGGGCAAGGAGCAGAACTGAACCATGTAGCCCTGCCCTTCTGATAATTGTGTTCATGATATAGTTCCACACCTGCTGCCCATACATGCTGCATAAATGTCTATGAAGAGGAGCAGTCTGGCTCCCTTTTTGACTCCTCCACAGTGCCTTCTGCTTAGCGCCATTTTAGGGTGTGGCAGTGGTTGGTTGGAAGGCAGCTACAAAAAAAAGGTAATGGGCAGACATTTAGGGGGAAATTTTGTGACATGGCATTCTGTTTCAAGGAAGAATGAGGGGTAAAAAACAGAATATTTATTGGGGGCAGGGAAATAGTTTTCTGAGAAACTTTGGCTCATTAATTGTTCTCATTCTTTGTGGTCCAGCACATTCCTTAGGATTTCCTAAATGTTACATTTTGTAGGATCAGATTCACCTCTAATACAGATGCTTATAATGCAGCTTCTCCTTTCTAAGCCTCATAGTGGGTATAAGAGAAGGCAATGCTGTATCTGGTTCCAGGCAAGAAATTAAGCTAATGCTGTGCTATAATTTTTTCTTCAGTTTCCCCAAGGTTTTACTTTCCTCTGGGTAGCTTCCATTTTTCTGCTTCATTTTCACACCCCTTTAGAATTTTTTTTGTGATATTTTGGAGCCTGCTGAAACATTGCAGAGTGGCCAATGGTGCTGTATTGTTTTTAATTTCTATTGTACACCTCTTTATTACATGGCAGCTTCCCTGACTGCCCACACTTCATAATCTGGGAAAGCCCCCTGGAAGTAATTAGCTTATGACATTTTTCCCCGGGCCGTAGAGGAAGGTGGGGCAGCGGCTCTGCCAGCTGTCACAGAGATGGTTGTACAGTGAAAGGCAAGAGATATATCCACACTGATAGTCAGCCAGAGTAAGGCACAATTAGCACCAGAATCACCCCTCTGAATTTCTCTTTCAAAATTCTTTTTTAAGGGGATTTCTCTTCTGTAAAACAGGTTGAAAATGATTGTAATGAAGGAATTTTTGGCATAGTGCTGGCAATTACTGTACCAAATAAACCTGCACTCTCCGTAAATTATTTGATGCTTTGTAGTAGAAAAAAGTCAACCTCATAGCTTTCCCATTGGGAAAAGCGCAGTAGGATTTCTCATTCACATTATCTCAGGATTAAATTAAGTTGTGGAGTATCTACTGGAAAGATGGTGGGCAACAAGGCCCGAGATGCAAAGGGGAGTGGTGACAAGAGGATTGATGTATCATTCTTTGTCCATGCTTTCTTTTTCAGACCATACTGCCATCCTTTAGGTCAGGGTTAAGAAAACTCTGACCCTTCTAATGTTAGACTATGGTTCTGAACAGCTTTAGGGAGCCTAGCCTGTGATGAGGGATGTTGGTAGAAGCAGTTCATCAGCATCTGATGGCCCACAGGTTCCTCAACCCTGATTTAGAGGAATAGACCATAGCTGCATAATAGGAGTACACAGTTTCCAAGCTGAAGCTCACAGTTCAATCCTAGGCATTTTTATTTAAGAACAGAATCTTCCTTTTATTTAAGAATAGAATCTTCTTGAGACTTTGGAGGGTCACAGCCAGCCAATATAGACAATGCTCTGTGGGGAGCTAGGCTAATGGTTTACAACAGTTTCCTATGGCTCTTTCAGCTGCTGCTACTTAAGTGAGGCATGTCAGAGTGCAAGCCTTCCTGGAATTGAAGTTTTCTGCCCTCTTAATCTTTTTCCATCACATGGGCCAGTTTGGGGGCACCACTGGCTACCCGATTTGCACACCTTAGCAAAATTGGAAGAGATATTTTAATGAGACCTGTTGTGTCTTTTCTTACATTTGACTCATTAAAAACAAACTGATATCCGCTGGGAATTGTGTGCACATTAATTGGGTATAGAAGTTCCTTCTGCCTTGACAAATTCACAGATGTTTTGCCAGCATGCTTGATTTTAGATTATTCACATCTATTGTGAATCGGAAGGAGTGGGACAAAGAGGATTGTAATAGTACTCTTTTCTGAATATGAAGTACTTCCCACTCTTTAAATGCTGGAGTAGGATAATGTTAACTTATAGAAGAAACTGTTTGAACCTCCTAGGAAGTGCATTACTTTTCCCTGATAATGTCAGAAATATTACAGTATACTGTAAGATACGAACAATGTGCCAAAACACTTAATTGGAAACAAACGGAGCTTGGAAGTGATGTGTTGCTTGTAACACATTACCTTTGGGGTAGGGGGAAAGAACAAGAGAACATTATTGCTGCAAAACATTAATTTGCATAATAATGTTTTTTGAAGTGAGTGTTGTTGTCATGTTTTAGTGTAACAAGTAATATTTGCTTAGTATTCCCAAAATAGTGCTGGGGGGCTTATTACATTTTGACAAGGCATTTATTTTCTACTGTTGTATTTGTGTGTGTGTGTTTGTGTGTGTTAATAAGAAGCAGCTAAGAAGCGACATGCTACTCTTTAAATAACAAGCCATGCCAATGAAGCACTTTTATTACATAACATATAACAAAACACTATTTAAATACAACATTCCAAGTTCTAATCTATGAAGTGCTATATAGAAAAGTGTCTAATGAAATTAGACCAATGGTTTGGAAGCTGAAAATGATGATCTGCCAACTATTATTGTCCCACAGGAAGACAAACTGTTTCTACAACTTTTGCAGCCTACTAGTTGCTTTATTGGGGGTGTTGAAGGAAGAATGTAAGACTTCTGCAATATATATTAAAGATAAAATAATGTGATTTGCATTCTGCAACAAAGTAACATAAACACATGTATTGTGTGTGTAATGGTGAGAAATAGAATGGTCCTTAGAAACTAAAATTGCTTCCATGGTTGTTACTAGGATCCAACCCATGTGGTGAGCCCAGTCATTGATATCATCAACTTGGACACTTTTGCTTACGTGGCAGCTTCATCAGATCTGAGAGGAGGTGAGTCTCCAATCAACTGTAGACAGGTGATTTTTCAGGCAAGTATATGAGCAAAGTGTCCCAAAGGGAACAGGAAGCTCTGAGTCAAATACATGCCTCAATTCCAACCTTGATTTTTTTTTCCAGTCGTGTTGCTTGTCATGTTTGGGCAATCGGTATCTTGGCTTCATAAGATATGACTCAGCCTTTGAACACTGATATAACGACTTCTCTGCCAGCTCCTTGAGTGTTAAAAATGAATATGTAAGTGGTTGTTGTGGGTTTTTCAGGCTCTGTGGCCGTGTTCTGAAGGTTGTTCTTCCTAACATTTCGCCAGTCTCTGTGGCCGGCATCTTCAGAGGACAGCAAAAACCCAGAACAACCATTAGATCCTGGCCGTGAAAGCCTTCACGAATATATGCAAGAATTCTTGCTTCCAACATTTTGGAATTTAACTCCAAGAATTTGCTAGCCAGTATTGCCATTGGGCATAATAACTAGGAGCTTCTGGGATTTCTTATAAAAAGTAGAATATGGAAAATGGAGTAGAATATGGAAATCAGTTTTAAACATAGTTTCCTATTTCATCCAGACTGGAAAGCTCTGGCTACCAAGTTCAGAACAAGCTGAAATATTAAACTGATTTCAGTACTTATCCTGTTTCCCCAAAAATAAGACCTAACCTGAAAATCAGCCCTAGCATGATTTTTCAGGATGCTCATAATACAAGCCCTACCCCCAAAATAAGCCCCAGTTAAGTGAAACCCCACCCTCCACCATTGCACAGCAACCAAAAGATGATGACATGACTGCATTTGAGTAAATGTAGATTGTTGTACATGAAAAAATTAAAACATCCCCTGAAAATAAGCTCTAATGCATTTTGGAGCAAAAATTAATATAAGACCCTGTCTTATTTGTGGGGAAACACAGTAGATTAATAACTGGTCTTGTTATGAAGTTGGCAACTGTAGCTTCTTGGTTTGGATGAAACCAGAAACAATTGTAAACAAGGACCAAGCTATACATAACAGATAAGCCTAACATTGTCCCTCAGAGAAGGAAGTGCTGCTTATATGTGATTGTCACAGCAGGAGCTTGTCTCATCTGTCATAATTTATGGATTAGCTTCCATTATATTGTGATTGGTCTTCAGGACACAAGCATATTCTTCCTTGGCAATTCTGATTCCTCTGACACAAAACACTGGTTCAATCAAATCTCATGCACAACAATATTGTGACCTTATCTCTAATTTATTTATTATTTATTTATTTATTTACAAGATTTTTTTAGCCGTGCCATTTCCAGTGGTCTCTGAGCGGTGTAGAACACTATTAAAACTTTAAAAAACATTAAAACCAATAAAAATAGGCAATATTATAATAATATCCTATATAAAAAAACAGTCATTAAAACATTAATATTAATAAATCGTGCTGCTCATATGGCCAGCGAAAGAATACTATTTAATTAAAATACTGGCTAAACAGAAAGGTCTTTGCCTGGAGCCAAAAAGCCAAAAGTGTTGGAGCCAGGTGAATCTCTATAGGGAGGGCGTTTCAAAGTTGGGGGGCAACAGTTGAGAAGGCCCTATTTCGGCATGCCATCCCTCTCACCTCTTTCAGGGTTGGCACCTTCAGAAGGGCCTCCTGGTCTGATCTTAGAGGACGGGCAGGCTCGTATGGAAGAAGGCGGTCCTGTAGGTAACCAGGTCCTAGGCTGTTTAGGGCTTTATATGTCAAAGTAGGCACTTTGAACTGGGTCTGAACAGCAACCGGCAGCCAGTGTAAGTTTTTCAGAACCACGTGACATGAGTCTGTGTGGCGCCACCACTTACCAGCCACACAGTCCGGTTCTGTGCCAGTTGCAGTGGTCGGACTGTCTTCAAAGGCTGTCCCATGTATAGCGCATTGCAGTAGTCCAGTTTGGTTGTTACCAGTGCATGTGTGACTGTTGCCAGACTCAGCTCATCCAGGTAAGGGCGAAGTTGATATATTCTCCGCAGCTCTAAGAAGACAGCCATGGACACTGAGTACACCTGGGCTTCCAAGGTCAGATCAGGTCAAGGAGCATCTCTAAGCTGCGGACCCTGTCCTTTAGGAGGAGTGTAACCCTGTCTAAGGCAGGGAAATGGCCCTTTAACGAATCTGGCGGAACACCTACCAGCAGCACTTCCAACTTGTCTGGATTGAGCCTCAGTTTATTGACCCTCATCCAGACCATTATTGAGTCCAGGCATGAGTTCAGAATGGCGACTGCCACACCTGGATTGGTAGAGAATGAGAGTTAGAGCTGGGTGTCATCAGCATATTGCTGACTCCTCAGCCCAAACCTCCTAACTACCTCCCACAGCAGTTTCATGTAGATATTGAATAGCATGGGGGACAGTATAGAGACCTGATCCACCATGGATCAGAGCTACTGTCCCCCAGCACCACCTTCTGGACTCGATCATCCAGGTAGGAGCAGAACCATCATAATGTCATTGCCAACTGATCAACATCATCATCACACTTGAACTGCTCTTAACAATTCTTACATTGGACAGTGAGACCTGCAAGCAGCTGAAGGAAAAATGCACAAATCACAAATCTTCATGCTAAATAAACATTGCCTAATCAGAAGACACAACAATTCTGTAGATTTTAATAATAACTCTTAATCTTGAATCAAAGTATAATCTGGAATTTTATTTATTTGTTTGTTTGTTTGTTTGGTTGGTTGGTTGGTTGTTTTACCCTGCCTTTCTCCCCAAAAGGACCCATGGTGGAATCCTGTCTTAAATAGACTAACATACATATTTATTGGATTATAATCAGTACAATAAGGCATTGCAAAACTTACTTTTTTAAAATTCAGTTCTCAGAATCTCCCCTGCTAATAAGGGGGATTCTGGAAGTTATAATTAAAATACATTAAAATATAGCAGTAAGTTGAAACTAGAGTAGGGCCATTGAATCAGTGGGATTTGTTGAGTCAACATGTATGTAAATTCTGTTGGTTATTACTGGATATTTCCACATTCTGAATACAGTGGTACCTCAATTTACAAACTTAATCCATTTTGGAACGACGTTCGTACGTTGAAAAGTTCGTAAGTCGAAGTACCATTTCCCATTGAAATGCATGGAAACAGAATTAATCCATTCCAGCATTTCAAAAGGCAAAAAGGCAGGGGGAAAGGGCTGGGAATTCCAATTTCCCACCCTTTCTCCCTGCCTTTTTGGCTTTGGAACTCTCAAAGGGCTTCCTCTGATGTCATGGGGAAAGCCCTTTGAGAGCTCCGAAGGTGCCAATTGCGGCGGCGGGGTCCCCCAGGGAGGTCTCCCAGGGCTTGCGCGCCACCATGGGAGACCTCCCTGGGGGTCCCTGCTGCCACGATTGGCACCTTTGGTGCTCTCAAAGGGCTTCCTCTGTTGTTGGGCGGAAATCTCTTTGAGAGCTCCGAAGACAAAAGGGCAGGGAGAAAGGGCTGGAAATTCGAATTTCCCGTCCTTTCTCCCTGCCTTTTTGCCTTCAGAGCTCTCTTAGGGCTCCCCCCCCCCGACATCAGAGGAAGCCCTTTGAGCTCTCCGACTGCAAAAAAGCAAGGAGTAAATTGAAAAGTTCGTATCTAGGGATATTCGTAAGTCGAGGGTTGACTGTATAATCTAGATACTGAGTGTGACTGAAACGTCACAGGGACTAAAACATGGTCATAAGAGCCATCCCTAACCTATCTGTCTGCTGTTCATTTTGCCTCTAGGATTTGACTGGAGCCTTCATTTTAAGTGGGAACAACTTTCTCCAAAGCAGAAGGCAAAGCGAACAGACCCAACAGAGCCAATCAAGTAAGGATGGGCAAAACAGAGTTACAGGGAGCTTTCTTGAAAACATTGTGGAAGAAAGCCAAAGGCAGACCAAGCCATCTGAAGTACCCAGTTTGACAGTTTGACCCCTAGCTAAGTACATTAAAAATCTTTCCTGAAACATGACTTGATTACCTCCTAAATGTACATATTTACCCACTGCTTTATAAGTGTTGTAAAAATGATTGTGTTTGCTCTTCCATTCAATAATGTCATGTTTTTAAAGGAAATACACAGATAGGGTATAATATATATTAGGCATGTGGGGGAGTCCCTTAACCCACCCTGTACCCAAATATAGGGCATACTGATCACAGCCAAATCACCCCATACTCTTTAGGAGATATTCCAGCTCACTTCATGCCTGGGTCCATGACATTATCTGTGCATTTACAGATCTGCCAGACAGGAGAAATGTGAATGGTTACTGCCTGTTAGGGGTATGTGCAGCATCATTAGTTTTGGCAACAAGATAGACCTTACACAATAGCAGGAGGTAGGAAAGCTAAATAAATTCAGAAAGCTAGTAGGGAAAGGCTAGGTACTCTAGACTCTTAATGGCACTAAGGCCAGCAGGCAGTGGTTAATATTGGTACAACTGCACCAAAAATTTGGGGGGGGGGAGGTAATGGTGGAGGAGAAGGAAGAATCATAGAATTGTAGAATCGTCGTAAGGTTGGAGGTCTTCTTGTCCAACCTCCTGCCCAAGGCAGGAGACCTCATACCATCCTGGACCTAAATACCATCCCGGACAGATGGCTGTCCAATTTTTTTCCTGGGGCACTCACAACATCGGGAGGCCAACACTAATGCCTTTATTTTGTGACCTGTCAGTTGAAAGCCCTTACAGTAATCATCCTTCCACATTTACACACACACACACACACACACACACACACACATTCAGTGCCAGTAGTAATATTTTGGTAATGTTTAATAAACTAAGCTTAGAACAATGAAAAAGGATCTTGTAGAATGCAAATGGCTCTCTCACTATTTAATGGAGCTGAAGGGAATACAATGCAAGTCTTCCTGTTAGCCCTTTAGCTCCATTAAATGACCAGTGGAGCAGCTGCAAGTGATTTCAGTCTGAACCCTCCCTAGTACTAGCCTCAGTGGCTGGAATGTCCAGGGAAGACCTTGGGCTTCTTTGGCCACTTCAGCTGTCACTCATCTTCTCTTTCGGTATCAGCAGCTCAGCCTATCGTACTATGAATTTCTGATTTTCTCAGTTCAACTTGCTGGCCTTCTTTATTGCCCTGTGAATGTTAATTGAGGTATGAAATATATATTAAAGTTTTGTTCTCCTGAGGGTGAACAATGGTGCTTTGCTCCCCCCTATAGTTACCCAAAAATCTCACGAACACCCTGGACTTGATCCCATCTTGATCTGCACATTTGTCTGAAGGGAGTGCACGTGCCTAATATATATTGTTTTTGAATGTGTCTTGAACCTGTTTATTTATTTAAAGCATTTTTCACTCTGCTCTTCAGTAAAAAAAAGGCTTTTACTATGGAACAACTTTCATAGAGTAAAATTAAAAAAGACAATTGGCGCCTGCAGGTTTCAAGTATAAAAGGAAAAATGGATGACAAAGGAAAGTAGAAATAAGGAGCAAGCTGTCTTTCATCAGGAGAAACAGGCCTGATTCTCGTCTCATCTTCTTTTGCTATAATCTGCTAGAATGGCTAACACAACCTCCTGTAACACAGGACGACTTGCCTTCTGTTGAGACTCAAGAGCCATATTTGGCCAATTGCCCCTACCTTGGAGAGTGAAGATTGAACAGGGAGTGTGAAACATGTATGTAAGCCCCTCCAACCTCACAAGTCTGCCTCCATGTGCTTCTCTTCAGACCTTATTTGCACTCATGAAGTTTCCCAGGCTTGTACTACTTGAACCTACGTAGAAGCCTCCAAGTAGCTGGGAACCTTGATAAGGTAAAGGTTCCCCTTGACAATTTTTGTCCAGTCGTGTTCGACTCTAGGGGGCGGTGCTCATCCCTATTTCCAAGCCATAGAGCCAGTGTTTTGTCCAAAGACAATCTTCCGTGGTCACATAGCCAGTGTGACTTAGACACGGAATGCTGTTACCTTCCCACCAAGGTGGTCCCTATTTATCTACTTGCATTTGCATGCTTTCGAACCGCTAGGTTGGTGGGAGCTGGGACAAGCGACGTGAGCTCACTCCGTCCCGTGGATTCGATCTTATGACTGCTGGTCTTCTGACCCTGCGGCACAGGCTTCCTCGGTTTAGCCCGCAGCGCCACCACGTCCCCATGGGAACCTTGATAAAGGCACATAATTGTGTTCAGCCAATGTGCAGGATTGCTGAAAGTAGAGCAATGTTCTACACCCCAAATTCCATCTGACTCTTAGCTCTCACATGTTCAGGCAAACATCTGAGTAGGGCTAACTTTGGAAGTCCAACTTATCTAATCTTGGAAAGCAAATGCACCATTGCAATCTGTCATAGCAGAATGGCTGTACAGTATAGTGTTCTGCAGGTTCTGTTTTTTTATTAAGCAAGCTGGAGTTCACCACATTTGAGCTAAGAAGATTATACTGTAAGTGGGTAACAGACACCCTCTAGTCCAAACTTGGATAAAGTCCAACCAATTGTGCAATGGAGAGTGGGACACAGGAAGTAGACAGAGAATATTCTGGCCAGGAGAACAACCTGCAGTCAATATATTTGCTACTTCTGGATCTCAGATAAGCTAATATTATCCCATGCTGGCTGGGGAAATGTCAATGTGAACAGTTTTGCAGGCTGTGTTGCATCCTGCTCATTTTTGCTGAATCTTTCCTTTCCATTTTGGAAACATCCCATGGCAAAATGGTCACAACTTCTAGTCTGTCTCAACCAAGACCCTTGTTGCACAGATTGAAAGAGAAGCCTCTTTGTGGTCTGAGCCAGAGTGCTGAGAGCAGGCTGTGCCCTGTGTAATGAAAGGCACGGCAGTGCTTACAGTACAGTCATTCTTGCATTTCTCATCCCACTCAGTGCCACTTCTTCATTTTTCTTTTCAATTAATATGGAGGAAAATGGAGGAATGATTGTTTTGAAATCCAAATTGATCTGATTATAAAGCATGTCTTTAAAAGCTCTTTCCTTGTCTTTTTCAACAAGTCTTGCTTCCTCCCCCCCCCCCTCAAAATGAGACTTCTGGCAGGATAAGACTGGGTACAGAATAATGTCATGTAAATAACGCCAAGTGCTAAATGCATTTTTTGCTGTGGAAGCCTGCAATCAGGGCTGCAGACTTTAGGCTCGTAGGAGTTGTGCTGATGAGTGCATTAGCCAGTCATCACATGCTGGGGTTGGCTTCTGATTGACAAGAAAGCGCGCACGCACACACACACACACACATATGCTGGGGGATATTTGAAGCACTTCTTGTCCAGAAACTTGTTTATGAGAGGCAATTTTTATGAGCAGATATTACCCTATAGATGGGAAACTGTTTTGATGCGAATTATGTTTCCTTACAGCTTATATTTTGGGGACTATTACTAACCCCAGCAGACCAGACCAAATCAAAATGCATGCACCTTTCTTCCCGTAGACAGACAGACAGACAGACAGACAGACAGACAGACAGACAGACAGACAGACAGACAGACAGACAGACAGACTGGAAGAGAGAACTGTTCAAGCTTAAAGGTGGTGAGCCAGGGCAGGCAGGGAAGAACCACACAAACACACAACACATTGGAAGACCACAGCTTCATTTGTTAAAGGTGCCAATAGCCTTGACGCTAACAAAGAAGATGGATCTGCATCAGCCAAACTGCCTGGCAGCTGATGGTGAGCCAAGGTGACTGGAATCTGAGGGTAACCACAGGATCATTTGCCACTCTGTGGCCACAGTGGTCACAACAGAGCAGAGAATTTCAGCCTCTTGAGGCAAGACTCACTGTTGTCATGGGTGTTGTCAATGTTCAGACTGCCCTTTGCTATGTTTAGCATCCTTTTTACTGCTGGTAATACGGGCACAATATTATGCAGCAATATCAGACCATTTCCTGGCATTTTGAATTTTGGATACAGAACCACAATAGCCTGCATTCATGAACCCAATTTTTTTTTTAAAAAATTGAATTTCCTGTTTGTTTTTTTTAAAACAGATGCATAAGTATACATAAACCACATAAAAAATTACAAGACCAAAAAAAATAATTGAATTTCCTGTTTGTTTGTTTTTTTAAACAGATGCATAAGTATACATAAACCACATAAAAAATTCCAAGACCAAGAATGGTCTGTGCCTGCTCCACAAAATTCAGACTAGAAATCTATCTTTCAGTTTTCAAACTCTTCCTCTACAAACATGTTGTTTTCATGTTTTCCAAATGATGTCCCCTTGTCTTTTGAAATAGAAAAGGGATAGTTGAGAGTTAGCAAAGATTGTCATTTGGATCCACAGTCAAAATCATCCATCCCATGTGAAGAACAAACAATGAAGAAAGGAGGGCTGTGTGGAATCGATTCATCTGAAATGTAGTGTTGGAGGAGAGCTTTATAGATAGCACAGACCAGAAAGGCAATTAAGTGGGTGCTTAATCAAGTCAAGTCTGAAATCTCACTAGAGCAAAAATGAGTAAATAAGGCTACCCTACTTTGTACAGATAATGAGAATGCAGAATTGATTGCAAAAGAGAGTATTGCTGGAGGGGAGGAGGGAGCTGGAAAAGAGGGAGACCTAACATGAGATTGACTCAACAAAGGAATCTACAATTGTTAATTTGCAAGAACTGAGCAGAACCTACTGAAAGAAATATTGCTAGAAAGGGGGGCAAAGGAAAGAGGGAATAATGCAGTGTGAGATGTTGTTACTTTGCAAAATCTGAGCAGAGCTGTTAATGATAAAGCATTCATAGGCAGGGAAGTAACTAACTCATACAGTCACCACACATCAGAAGTGACTTGATGACACATAACATCCTTGGACTTTTTTAATTACTGAGCAATTGCATAGTGACAAGATGGGTGTAATGGAGATTATGATAGTATATAGGTATCAAAGCTCTATTAACATCAGGTTATCAGCCACAAAGTAGAGAAATTGTGATTTCACAGTTTAAATGAGCTTCTGAATATTTGTTCTGTATTATTTTTAATATGTTTTTTTAAAATTCAGTATCTGAATTTTTAAATTAAAAAAATATTTATGTATGTCTGTTTTTACAAGCAGACAGAGAATCCCCTTGCAAGCATGATTCCGATAACCTGGTTTGTACAGAAAAGAGTTAAAAGGTTAGCTAAGAGTCAGCTTATTGCACCTTGATTGCCATGGTCAAAAGTTCAGATTGTCCCAGAATTTCCCCTTTGAAAATTTATATGAATAGACGCTTGGTCTCAGAAATCCTGAGATAATGTTTACTGAATACCTCTCCTTGCCTTGCCTATAAATGTATGCAATGTTTCATTTTGCGAAGCTCCTGCTGCCAAGTCTCTACCACACATGTTGAAGTCTTATAACAAAGTGGCTGTTTATATATTTTGAAAGGCCTTCTTTGAGAATCTATATTTTAGCCCCAGCAGCCTGGATTCTGTCCACATTTTAAAAAGCAAGTGGGGCCAACCGTTCTCTTTCAAAATATAAGCAAAATTGGTCTCTTCAGTTGTATGATCTATTTTAAATCTGGGGACATTTAGGGTTGGCAGTTTTTGAATGGGTGTGGGTGGGCATAAAACAACTTTACTTTTAAAAAATCATAACTTGAAAACCATTTGCCCAAACTTCCCCAAATTTGGCACACAGCAGGAACAGACTGTCTAGTCATAACATGGACTGTGCCATATTGGGTGCTTCTCAGAAGCACAGTTTAAATGTTGTCTCATTTGGCTGTCCTTTTTTTAAAGAATCGTCTTATAGAATGTTGCTTTGCTCTGCAGGCAAATTATTGGTTTTCCGAAACCTAAACAAGGGATGGTGAATGGGAGGTCTAATGTAGAATGGCTGCTCCAGGCCTTTGCAGCCCTTTATATATCCCAAAGTCGGGCTGGATAGAAACATCTCCTCTCTGGTCCACCAGCCTGATTGGCCGGGGACTCTCTCTGCAGGAAAAGCACACAAAACCACATGGGGAGGGAGTAGCTGACAGACTCCTCCAAAATACCATTCCACCTGCCCCACTGCCATTGCAGGACAACAAATATGCCTACTTGCTGAGTCAGGGCCTGTTACTTTTCAGCAGGACTTGGAAAACTTGCTTTTTGACTACAGCCCCCAGAATTCCTCTGGCATGGCCTCCGTGTCCCATGGCTTAAGTAGGAACACAGGCTTTAAAACTAATTAAATATGTTGATTGGCTCATCTTTGTGACATCATGAGTAGAGTATTACATGTCTTTATTTTAGCCAGCTTATTTGGTTGTTTGTTTATTTTAATTTGTATTCCACCTTTCTCAAAATTAAGGGACCCCAGGTGGCTCACAAGTTACTGAAAAAGAAACTGAATAAAACCACAATAAATTATAACACTTAAAAAACAAAAGTATTAATAGTGTTGGCTCTTAGGAGCCGAGAAGCCTCATGAAAGGAGATATGATCCTTCAGATAGTGTGGACCCAAGCCATATTGGGTTTTATTAGTCATAACCAGCCTTGTGAATTGGGCCTGGAAATGGACCCAATTTGTTTTACAGCCATTGTTTGGGCATCTCTTTCGGTTTTGTCATCCAGTTCTCTTTGGCCCTTCTGACTTTCAGTCTCCTGTCCGCCAGAGCAGTGTTTTTCTGGCAGTTGTGATCCCCATGGGGTCAAAAAGTGTTTTTTTTTTTTGGTGGGGGGATGAGTCACTTTATATCTTTTGTTCCCGTTGTTAAATAATTTCTTCCTTGACCTTTCAGAGCCGGATATTAAAGTAAGAATGTATGTGTATGTATGAGAAACAGGCCTTTTGGAGGAGAGAAAGAAGCCTCTACTTTCTGAGAAGGGATGCCTTTATCCCAATAAAATGCCTTTTTATGCAAATGTGGTGGGGGGGGTCACAGGATACTTGGGGGTTGCCACTCAAAAAAAGTTGGGAAGCACTGCACAGAGCATATGTAGACTCCACTCTGATTCTATTCTCAGACAAAGACTTTTCTTTACCATTTGTGTGTTAATATGCTAGGACATTTTCTATTGACTGTTAAAAACTACTGTAAAGATCAATCAACATGATAGTGCATTTTTTTCTATTGCATTTTCTATTCTATTTCACATTCCAAAATGTGTATATAATAGCTATTTGCCTATTGAGGGAACACTCCAGGCATCTAATGATGTGGGCTTCACTTCATGGAAGCTGATGCCAAATAAAATTATTGGATGTCAGTGTGCCACAAGACTCTTCACAATAATTCTTTATGATATTATGCTATAAGACTATTTATTTTTATTTCAATGGATTAACATCACTACTTCTGTAGACACGCATGCGCGCACACGCACACACAGACAGACAATGTTGCAAAACCTTCCTTACACTGAAAACTGAAGAGTTTATACTGTAGCCCAATCACCACAAAAACTAACATATAAATAATATGTGTGAAATTCTAAACCAGGGGTGGGTAACCATGGTCTATATGTTGCAAAACCCTTGCTAGCCAAACCTATGGGGGAAACATGAGTGCTGTAGTTTAAAAACATCTGGATTGCCCATTCTGATCCAAATAATTTGAACTAAATATCCATAAAACTGCAACCAACTCAAGCTGAAAATGCCAACAAATCTCAAGGGCTCTCCAAACTTATTCACTGCTACTCTTGTCTCTGAAAACTAAGATCTTGTTTAATCTGCCCCAGCCTTTCTTAAGGCAGAGAACAATTCCCTAATGCAGATACATTCCCTTAGTTTCCATCAATGACTCCTTGACTTCATAGCAGTAGCCAACACTTTTATTATAATTCCAATGCCCACTTTAACTCAGTTTCTTCTTCTTCTTCTTCTTCTTCTTCTTCTTCTTCTTCTTCTTCTTCTTCTTCTTCTTCTTCTTTATTACTACTACTACTACTACTACTACTACTACTACTACTACTACTACTACTACTTCATTATTTTGTTTGCACCATCAGTGTGTGTGGTGCTGTTGCTATACAGAATCTAAAAGGTAAGCTGCATCTCCCTCTTCCTTGTTATCAGCTCATTGTCAGATTTTCCAGGACATTTGCCATGCATGTCTGGGAACAAGGTAGCTGTATATCTGTTTACAGGTTGCAAAATAGTAGTTGTTTTATGTTAGTTAGGAAACATAAAGTGGATTTGTTTCTTCTTTTATCTGGATACACATACTGTATGCTGTACTTTTTGCAAAGGATTCTAAACAAATACTGTACTTCTTTCTTTCCTTTCCAAACCATACAGGACCCCTATCATTGCAGGAGGGCTTTTTGTCATTGACAAGGCCTGGTTCAACCATCTTGGAAAATATGATGCGGCGATGGACATTTGGGGTGGAGAGAACTTTGGTAAGTCACTGTCCATGAACTAGTGGGCAAAACAAGAGCCTCCAGATGATATTGGAGTTCACTTCCCCATATCCTTCACTATTGGTTATGCTACCTAGAGCTGAGGGTCACGCCCAGAAGGCTGCACTTTTGTGTCCCTCTCTTCTACAATCATCAGCCCAATGTTGGGAGGAGAGGCACCAGGATTATCTCAGTAGTTCAAGATTCCCATCACTCAAAAGTCCCATTTATTATTTGTCAGGAATCTAAGTAAACAAGAACTCTCTCAGTGCTTTTATTAAAGTGCAGTTTATTATTTGAAGGCTCCTTCTGTCTTTGCTGCTAGTACCAAGCTTTCCTTCATAGCTGGAATACTCTCTCATCTTTTGACACCATCATCAACTTCAAACCATCTAACAGGACAAAGAAAAGGAGGGGTCAGGCAGGCACACCTCTTAGCAAAAAGATAATCACTGAGTGTAAACAATCTGATGGGTAGAGTTCTGCCACAATACCAGACACTGGAGGCATGTTAAAAGGAAGAAATTGGCAGTATCACAGTTAATTCTAAAGGTTCAGTAGAGATTACCTATGGGACCTTTCCAATTAATGCATCATATTTTGCTAACATCACCAAATAGAAGGAGCGTTGTCTTTTCCTCAGGGGGATAATTTTGTGGTGGCCATGGAAGAGCCTGTTTCATGGATGGCATTTCCAGAACTTTTGTGCTTTCTCTCCATTTTATGCTCTGGCAGGATCTGTGCTGCTTGTTTTGAACTGTTTGCTCTCTACAGGGAGCACTTAAACATCTATGTCAATAAAGTGATTTTAGAGGCAGTAAATCTAGGCAGCAGCATAGCTGGGTAAGTGACCCAATGTGCACATGATCTACCAGGATTTAAATACGGCCAAATGTTCATCTGCTCCTTTGTTGCACCATGGTTATAGCTCCTACTCTGGACCAGTCTTATGCCAGTTATAAATATCCGGGGATGTATCTGTGTTGTATTAAGACCAGTATCAGAGCAGAAGAGGAAAAGGTAGCTTAAAGCAACAGTGGATAAGGTACAGCATATGGGTTGCAGGTGACTTCCTGTGGATCTCTTTTTAAAACTCATTGGAAATTTTTTTTACACACATGCACCTCAAATTCATTTTCAAGTGCCCAAACCCAACAAGCATATTCAAACCAAGCTGGAATTTGCTGTCTGGGAACTTCCTCTTTCATTTTCCCCAATTTTTCTGGGATTTTGGACAGTTTCACAGGAAGGTTCTAGGAAAATGGCCCCCTGGACCTCCTCAACTCACCCACCACTGGATTCCTGTCATGTGTCTACCCATTTTCCTAGACTTTTTGTTGATTTAAACTTCAATGTAACCTAGGGAAGACAAATTTAAATGGGGATGGTGCCAAGGACAACAGAGATACTGGGCAGAGCCTGGGGAAATTCATTTTGGACTACAATTCACAGAATCCACAGCCAGCACTTTGTATGTTGGCTGGGAATTATTGTTGTTATAGTCCAAAAAAAGAGGAACCTTTCTAAACTCTGGTTTTTGGGGAGTGGACATTTTTCCCTGTGTTTCCTGTGCAGTTCAGGGAATTCCTCAGGGGAAATGAAAGAATTGACGTTAGCTCATCTTGTTCATGACTGAAAGGTTTGATCAAACTGGACTATGTTGTTGTCTTATTGTTTGCAGCTGCAATGCCACTGCAGATCAGAGAGAGCCAAGTGAAGCCTTGAAAGAGCAAAGCAGGCACTGGGATGTCAGAGAGACAGATCTTAAGCTGGCTTTAATACTTCAACACCTCTAGGGAGTGTGGCTAGCAAGGAAAAATAATCCTGTCTTTGCAGATGCAGCCGCTTTGTCAGTGATCCATAGAAACAGATGCTACTGCTTTGCAATAATCCCCTCCGTTGCCTGACACTGTTGTTTTTCCCCTCCTTGAAGCCTTTTATCATAGCATATGTGGGTATATTTTCCTACTTAGTATGCAGAGTTGTATTATCAAGTGGCTTGGCCTTGCTCCTTCTCACTGAACATGCCTCATCCCCCGAGACTTCCTCTCACCCTGAAAGTAAACCATGTAATTAAGTAGACCAGGGTACATAGATGCTAGAAGTGTAAAACCAAACTGCCTGTGCAGAAAGGTGGTTGCTTACATCCAGCAGAAGGACATATCAAAGCCTGTAGGATTGGGCAGATATAGGATTAAAAAGTGAGGAGGATCTTATATGCAGAACACATCACGTGAAAAGCTGGAGGAATCTGAAACTGGAATTAAAATTGCTGGAAGAAATATCAACAACCTCAGATATGCAGATGTTACCACTCTGACGGCAGAAAGTGAGGAGGAATCAAAGAACCTCTTAAATGAGGGTGAAAGAGGAGAGTGCCAAAAATGGCCTGAAGGTCAACATAAAAAAACCCCTAAGATCCTGGCCACTGGTCCCATCACCTCGTGGCAAATAGAAGGGGAAGATATGGAGGCAGTGACAGATTTTATTTTCCCTAAACTCCATGATCACTGCAGATGGTGATAGCAGCCACAAAATTAAAAGATCCCTGCTTCTTGGGAGAAAAGCAATGAGAAACCTAGACAGCATCTTAAAAAGCAGAGACTTCATCTTGCGGACAAAGGTCCGCACAGTCAAAGCTGTGGTTTTTCCAATACTGATGTATGGAAATGAGAGCTGGACCATAAAGAAGGCTGACCGCCAAAGAATTGATGCTTTTGAATTGTGGTGCTGGAGAAGACTCTTGAGAGTCCCCTGGACTGCAAAGAGAACACACCTATCAATTCTGAAGGAAATCAACCCTGAGTGCTCACTGGAAGGACAGATCCTGAAGCTGAGGCTCCAAACTTTGGTCATCACATGAGAAGACTCCCTGGAAAAGATCCTGATGTTGGGAAAGTATGAAGGCAAGAGGAGAAGGGGACACCAGCGGACGAGATGGTTGGACAGTGTCATCGGAGCTACCAACATGAATTTGACCAAACTCCAGCAGGCAGTGGAAGACAGGCGGGCCTGGTGTGCTCTGATCCATGGGGTCACGAAGAGTCAGACACAACTTAACAACTAAACAACAACAACACCAATAACAAAAGGATTATATGAGAAACGGGATACAACAGAAAGCAATGAGAGAACACTGAAGGTCAGATGGCCATGTGTCCTGTTTTACAAGATGGTGGTCCTTTGTTTGAAAAGTTGTCTGAAGGTAGCTTGAATTTTCTCTCTCTTTGACAGCCTGTCCAGTTTTTATTTGGTTTAAAAGTAATGACGAGAGAAGAGGTCTTGAAGTTACCTACTAAAATGACACTAGTAAAATGAGCAAGAAGACAGGTCACATATCACAGTCTTCTCTGTGACTATGAGATAAATTGGAATTCTATTTAACCTACAGCAGTATTTTCTAAATTTGTACCTGTTAATATAAACTAGCATATGCGTCCTATATAAATCTGTGTAATTTTTTGTCTTCTTCCATCCCCTGCCTTTTTTATGGTGCATAAAATGGTCACACTACATAGGGCTTATTCAGACAGACATTTGCTTTGCTGTTTGGTGTGTTGCGGAGGCATATTGATTCACTGTTTTTTCCAGTAATCACATGATAAGTGGACCAGTTTGCACCCAGAGCATCCAACCTTCATCTTTTTGAGCTTCTGTCAGGAGTTTTTCCTTTTTTGGTTAAGGTTGGTGCACTCTAGTTTAATCTGTTCTCAGTGTGTGCAATCACTGGGAATGAATTAAAATCAAGCCTTGTAGCTGTCAAAGTGTGAGGGTTCAATGGTAACCTCAGGCTTGTCGAACACAAATACAGGATGCTCAGTTTTTTGAAAAACAGAACTAGGATTTATTGGAACATCAAATAAAAATTATCAACATTGAACTTGTCATTGTTCTTTTCTCTCGTCGCCAACGGGTCAAACGAGGGTGTCCATACATCTTGTAAAAAGGGGTTGAAACTTGGATCATTCCAGGGACCTTTAGAGAACGGATTAGTCTCATCCGGTTCCTTAGCATCAGTGTCCACATCAATCAGGGGTAAGGTCTCCTCATCTCCCCTCTCATGGTCATAGGGGTCGGCTCCCTCTGCATAGGGGTCCCAAGGTCCGGGAAATACCTCCTCCGGCGAGCCTCCTCCAGACGCCATGCTCTCCTCTCTCATTCCTCCCTCTCCACCGCTTCTTTTTCCTCTCTCAACCACCTCTGCCACTCCCTGGCTTCTGCTTCTCCCCAATAGGACGGTTTGGGGGGCAAACCTCTTCGTCGCCGGTAATCAGCCTCTTCTCGAGGCACCCTCACCTTTAACATCTCCCTGTCCAGGGATCTTCCACCCATATTAATTCCCAACCTCCGGGTATGTTGTCCCACTCTCCTTTTATATCTCCATGTCCCGCCTCTACTAACGGTCACTCCCCACCCTTGTTCCCACCTTTTCTACTCCTGTCTGGGTGGCCACTGATAGTCTCTTCAAGCCCTGTTCCAAGTCACAGGTATCTATACCCTGGTGCCTGACCGCGACGCAGGTAGCCGTAGATTCCGTTTGGGTCTCCTTCTCTCTCTTAAAGGAGGATGACACTCCGTGGAGCATTTCTATAGCCTTGCCTCAGGTCTCACACAAAGCTACCCAGGCTCCTTCTGGTTTGAATTTCCAATATCATGAAGTGACTTAATAAATAAGTTGCTTCAGTATGTTGACAAGTGATTCAGTGCATCAGCGATGGTCTAGCAGTCCAAACTACTAATAGTAATTGCACTGCCCCTCTACAGATTGAGAGTGGAAGTAGTTGGAGAATGGTTTGAGATCTATATGCCATTTAGACATGGGGATTATGCCAAGTGGCATATCACTCTTTCCCACCAACCTCAAGCAACCTTATTTAGACCACACTGGTACACAACAAAAGGGCCAGTGTAGATGTGCTGAATGAGGATCCACAGAACATGATATCAAGGTTTTGAGCATGCATATGAATTGCAAATCTCATTTATTTTATAGTGGGGTCTTATCTTCTTGAACATGACCAATTTCTGACATGCTTGTCATTGCGATGTAGAACTGGAAAGCCAAACAGCTTTGTTTCCCTACTTTTGGCAGAGATTCATATTATTTTGTAAGTTTTTTTTCTGCTTCAACCAAGAGCTAGTAATGTGCACACATGGTATCATGTTTTTAGTCACTAATTTTTCATTTGAAACCTATTCACTTCTTATTGGATTAATTTAACTATTTAAAAGGTTTTTAATATTGTTTAATTTTAATATTGTAGCTCACCAGGGGGCCTCTAGAGGAGAAAGACAGGTGTAATTGTAAAGATTCTCAGACTGATGTCAGCTTTATATGTGTCCATCCATAAGTCACTGTGTTGTCCAATTAAATCACTAGGTATGAAGGAACCCAAAGTTATGGCCAGCATCAGGCCTGGTGGGCCCTCAACAGGCTGGTGCCACTGGACTGCTCTCAGATGCTCAAAACCCTAGCGCCCCTTCCCAATGTCCCCTGCTGTTTTCAGGAGCTCTCACATGTCTACTATCAAGCTTTTCCTCCGACCCAGTTCTTGTTTTAACTCCTTTCTCATGAACACTGAATGTGTTGGGAAGGGCACCAGTTCTGCATTCTCCATTGCACACATTATTATAAACATAAGGGATAGTAAAGTGCTCCTGAAATATTAAAGTCTGTTGTATACAAAAGGGATTTTCTTACAGTTTAGTTATTTTCCATTTCCTACAATGTTACCAGGAAATTTCATATCATTAAATGTCAAAGTAATGGTCAGGAGCTTTGCATAGAAGAAAACAGGCTATCCAGAAAAGCTGTTTCTGATCCATTGTTTGCCTGCTTCAGTGCAGTAAAGCGTACAATGACACCGGCATCTGGTCTTCTCCAGGACATCAAAAAGCTAAAGATGAATCTTTCTTACAGAAATCTCATTCCGGGTATGGATGTGTGGTGGAAGCTTGGAAATCATCCCCTGCAGCCGGGTGGGCCACGTCTTCCGGAAGAAGCATCCCTACACCTTTCCAGAGGGAAATGCAAACACCTATATAAAGTAAAGCATTGTTCACATCCCCCCCCGCCCACAAACTGCTTGCAGGGATGGGAAATGTTCTTCCTCTGTACTACATTGCCCATATTATCATTCTGGGATCTGTACCCTGGAAAAGCTACTTTTCCAAACTCCAGTTGCCTGTAACCAAAATTAATCATGTGATAGACCAGTGGTTCTTAACGTGGGCAATATCTGGAAAAGCTACTTTTCCCATCTCCAGCTGCCTGTAACCAGAATTAATCATGTGATAGATCACATACTCCATATCTACTATTTGAACATTTCTGAGGCATTCTGGAAGACTATATATTCCCAGTAGAGACTCAGATGACTCAGATATACTCACACCTACCGTCTTTCCCTGAAAATAACACAGGGCATTACATTACTTTTTGCTCCAAAATATGCATTAGGGCTTATTTTCAGGGGATGTTTTATTTTTTTCATGTAAAACAATCTATATTTATTCAACTACAGTCATGTCATCTTCTTCTCGTTGCTGGACGATGGTGCAGAGTGGAGTTTCGCTTAACTAGGGCTTATTTTGGGGGTAGGGCTTATATTACAAGCATCCTGAAAAATCATACTAGGGCTTATTTTCAGGTTAGGTCTTATTTTCGGGTAAACAGTAGTTATGTGTGCCAAGAAAACCTGCCCATTCTTGTAATCTTTTCACCAAACTGTTCAGAGAGATCAACTTCTAATGAAGGAAATGCTGTTGCCTTCTGAAAGTTGGCTTCTTCTCTGCAAACCTAGATAATTCATCTTTTTCTTCACCCAGCCATCTCATTTGATATGAATGTTGACTAGAGAGAAGGCCTGCCTGGTTGTGGCACCCAAGATGTCACCTGTTAATCCCTAGAAAAGCTTAGCTTGCACCAGCTTTGTGTTTCTGCAGTGCCAGACAAAGGCACTGTGGGATTGGTGAAAATGGTGTTTGTCTTGTACAACCTGACATCACACCTTTTTTTAATTGTGGTGTTATAACTCTTCTGTTTTGTAGTCTGTTGACTGGTATTCAATAAGCAGCAGCAAGGCCAAAACCAGAAGTTGCCTTTTTTTCCCCTCTCCAAATATTTTTTTGAGAAGAAATACAGTGGTGCCTCGACTTACGACCATAATCCTTTCCAGAAGATGGGCGTAACTCGAAATGGTTTGAAGTCAAAACACCATTTCCTATAGCAATACATTAAAGCCCCATTAATCCATTCTTGTCAGGGGGGAAATACCAAGGGGAAAAAAAAACTGCAAGCCCCATAGGAACAGGCTGGGGCCGAAAAACAAATACACCAAAACAAAACAAAACAAAACAAAAACCACACACACACACACACACACACACACACACACACACACACACACACACACACACACACACACACACCCACCCCCGAAAGACCATTTCCTATAGCAATACATTGAAGCCCCATTAATCCATTCTAGTTGGGGGGGAAATACCAGAAAAAAAAATACTGCAAGCCCCATAGGAACGCGCTGGGGCCAAAAAACAAATACACCAAAACAAAACAAAACAAAACAAAAAACCACACACGCACACACACAGCCAGCCCCAGCAGAACACCAAAACACAAAAAAAAATAGCACAGAAACATAACCCCCCCCAACCCACCCTGAAAAACAAAGTAAATGTACTTACTCAGGAGCAGAAAGCAGCTCCAAGCAGTCCTGAAGTTTTCTCCGTTGCACGCACTCTAACCGTTGGGGCAAAATAGCTAAAAAGAAGCTCTTCCCCAACCAAAGATTAGCCCTGAATTTCCCGCATTTTTTCCCTGACCAAAGGTTAGCCCTGAATTTCCCGCATTTTTTCCCTGCCTCTTTTGTTTGCAACTCGAAGCTCCGGCCTCAAGTCGAAGTAAAATTTTGCAGCCGGAGCTGCTCGCAACTTGAAATGGTCATAAGTCTGGATGTTCGTAAGTCAAGGCGCCACTGTACTGGACCTGCTCGCAACTTGAAATGGTCATAAGTCTGGATGTTCGTAAGTCAAGGCGCCACTGTACATGGCATCTGGAATATGAGTTTATATATATAAACCCATATGAATTTATATGGTCTCATTTGGAATATGAGTTTATATATATAAACCCATATGAATTTATATGGTCTGAAACCATCTGCCATTGACTCATGACCCAGTTTCTGAGTTATGGATCTATTTCTATGGCCATGTTTCTTGCAGTATTTGCAAAGGTGAACATTTTTTGAGTAATCAGAGGTTTGCAAGCAAGAAAATTAATCTCCAAAATCCCAAAGAAGATGATCTACTAGTAGCTCATAATCACTAACGACTCCAAACTAGAAAAGATTCTTTCCTTATCCCAAAAAGTGAAGATGAAGATGATCATTATCATTGTAATCATTTGTATACATTTGTCCCACACGTGTCCTCTACTGATTTCAGGATAACTGAGTCATCCTACCTCAGCTTTACAGGCCTATGAGGCAGTCAAGTTGAAAGAGGGAGATTGGCCCAAATGTCCTCTGCTGATTTCAGGATAACTGAGTCGTCCTACCTCAGCTTTACAGGCCTATGAGTCAAGTTGAAAGAGGGAGATTGGCCCAAGGTTACACTAAAACCACTATACCATGCTGGAATGTGTCCTTATTTACAGATTACATTTTTACATATATGCATGCACATGATTGGAAGAATCAGCCACTGGATCTAGTTGCTCACAGCGCTTCTGTGCAGTCTCTTTGCTGCTGCTTTGCACATTCCTGAGCTCTAAATCTGGATTAGGGACCAGTCAGAAACTATTTGCATAGCTCCCTATTTCCACGTGAGAGGGGCTTTGGTTAATGTGGCTTCTGGTTTATTTCACTGTTTATTCAAAGGAAGAACGAATTGGCTACATGCAGATGCCTGGAACCAGGATTTGATCCTTAGTGTGCAACCATGTCTTGCATTTGCATGTAAACAAGATAAGATGAGAATCAGCCTTTAAAAGCCTGAACATCCGTGCAAATTTTCTTTCTTACTTTACCAGAATACGTTGTCTTCAGCTACTGATGAAAAATAATGTCTTCATCTGTTTAGTGGTTTCCCACCCCACCCCCCCTTTCCATCACATGAATGGCTCAGAAGAGGGGAAGGGGAGGAAACTTCTCCATTCTACCCTGATCCCCGCTGGTTTTTATTTGAGGCAAAAATCAAAGCTCTTTCATGGATGCTTCTTGGGGTTTCTCACTCATGTTTTAAACGTCTCTCCTTAGAAACACCAAGCGCACAGCTGAAGTGTGGATGGATGAATACAAGCAATACTATTACGCTGCCCGGCCTGCAGCTCAAGGGAGACCATATGGAGAGTAAGTGTCCCCCTCTGGTGGTGAAGGAAAATGCAAAGAGAGACTCGGTTGTTTGATACAGTGGAACCTCATTACAGTTTTATAGGAGTCTGGTCCAGCTGTTGGGATGCTTGCATTGTGTTTCTGTGGGAACATTTAATTAGATGTTAATAGTAAACAGATGCTGCAAGTATATGGATATGAAGTCCTAGTTGCCTGCTATATTAAAAAACCTGGCTTATATAAAACAACAATTGGCTTATCTCATTTGAAAGACCAGTTTCTTCCTGGATGAAAACAAATGAGCTAATGTCCTCTTCTTATATGTTGTTGGAAATGTGGATTCTTCTTTTAATAACTGTCCTCTTAGTACAAGTAAACTCTCCTATCCTAACTAATGAGGTAGCCTCATTAGGAAACCCCAGGAGAAAGAAACAAAGGTTACAAGCTGAATCCTTACTGCCACACTTGCCACAGGGTGACAAAGAGTTATGCCATAACTTGCTGTAGCAAGTCCAGCCTCTTCTATTTCCTTCCCTCCCTCCCTTCCTCCGTCCTTCCTTTCTTTTCTTACATGCCTGCTTCCTTTATAAAATGTGAGATAATTTGATAATAATAATATCGATTCCTCATATGATGCAAAACTGCAAATTAGCAGCCTGTTTGTCCAGAGCATGGAAAAATTATCGTTTGGACTATAATTCCTAGAAATTTTCCAGCCAGTTTTGACAACCTCTATTTTTGTCATTCTTACCACTCTCAGCTACCAGAGTACCAGAAATTAGTCATATGCTGTTGAGTATAGATGGTTTATACCATCTATAATAATGCATTATAAAGTTTTATTGCCTCTGTCCAGCTGCATTATGCACACATCCCCATGATCAGCTATCGTCATCTGTTTGGAGGGAGAACGGATTGAAGAGAAATAGGTCTTGACTGTTTACTACATAAGTTAATGAAGTAGATAATAAACAGAATCTAAAAATAAATGTTAAATAAAGTCAGGTTCATGATAATCAGATAAAAAACAAGCAAGCAAACAATCCAAGAAAGGCAGAGAAAGATCTAAAAAGAAAGTGTAGAATGCATAACTTGGAATTGGGTTGAATGAACAGAGTCACTGCTGTGCAACAAAATTCAGAATAGAGATGGCCTTGAACAGTTTCCTTAAGATCAAAAATGTAATGTGTAACAAAATGTAAAATTAGCATTGAGAGTCCACATTGTGTAGAAATGTGAAGAAGGCCTTCAACTCACTTGGTGCCCAAATATTAGGCCTATAGATGAAAAATGCCATAAAGATAGTTTCTGCCCTTCTGTATCCTGAGTCTATGACAGTATCTGCATCCATTTGTGCACTGAAAGAAAAAGAAAAACAGTTATAGTGAAAGGTGCGGACACACAACAGCATCTACCTCAGGAATGTTGTAGACCTTAACACTGTAGCCAGAATCCCTGCAGGCAGCTACTGGTATTTGCGCCACTGCATGAGGAGTGAGAAAAATGACACAGACAGCAACACACTAATTGTGTGATCTCCTTAATCAAAGCCCATAGTGCAGTCATCCTTTCACAATCACTCATCCATTCATTCCTTATGATGTAATAATATTTCAGTGGAGTTTACTAAACTAATGTGAATAAAAGGAGAAATGAAAAGAATGTAAAAAGGCTGTCTAAGCAAAATTGCAAGACATTCGCCTTGCCCTGCAGCTCCAGAAAATAGCTTATCTACCGGTTGCAACAGAATATATAACATCTGGTGATCTTATGTGAGCCCTCCCTGGTGTCTTGGTTGTTGGCGTGTCCAAGGGAGCTCTTGAGCTTCATGGAGGGTTTCAACTTTCACTCACTTTCTCCCTTTGCACTTAGGAACTCAGTGTATCAGTCCTAATTTCCCCTTTCCTCATTTCATATTATAGACCATATTTTAATTCTACAAATACCGAATGAAATGAGAAGGATCCATTAGGATGTTGCTCCATCCCAGGGGTGAATATCCTACTGCTGATTTGATCCATTTTTGCACATTTCTCCAAATACAGTGTACAGGTCTACTGTATGATGTTAAATACTGTATTCTCAATTCTGCTATAGAACACAGAATCCATTTCTCCAAATACAGAGTACAGGTCTACTATATGATGTTAAATATTCTCAATTCTGCTATAGAACACAGAATTATGGGCACAACAGTCACTGTCAAAAAGAAATCATAATTTGAGCTATGCGTTTATTGAAAATGCTAAGAATTTCTTAGAAGTACTAAGCTAGAGTAGGGGGCTTCCCATACCATACATACATACATAAGCTAGAATACTTCAAAAATATAATGAGCAATAAAAAGCACAGATTGTTTATAATTTAAAGTAAAATACATGGAAAAAGAAGCACTGGAAGATTGAGAATACAGCAGAATTGTCTTCGTTGCTGATGTCCAGTCCGTGATAAGAGATGGATAGGAAGGAGAAGGAGGAAGATGAGGCAATATTTTTCTTTTCAGCATTTTTAGTGTTTTTCTTTATGCAGCCCTGTTGCAGAACTGGGCTTGGAAGTACTTATACAGCAATCAGTATATGTGTGGTTCCTTATCCAAGTTGGAATATATGCACATCTTCTGCAAGATGGAGTGGAAAACAACTGTGTCTACATGAAGAATTGTAGAGTTGGACTTATGGACTCAAACATCATTTAGTCTTCCTGGCACTGCAGGAATCCATAGCTAACATATCTTCAGGAGAAGTCAATCCAAGGAGAGTTCATGATCTTGAAATAGCCCATTCCACTACTGAACAGCTCCTATTCAGAAGTTCCCTCTAATGTTCAGTAAGAATCTCCTTTTTTGTAATTTTATTCCATTGGTTTTGGTCCTGTTATCTGAAATGAGAGGAACACGTTTGCTTCATCTTCTCTGTGACAAGCCTCCAGATATTTGAAGAGGGCTATCATATAAACTCTCATATAAATTCTCAAGTCTTCTGTTCTGTAAGCTAAATCTGCCCACCCCTTCAAATATTTCTCATTGAGTGTGGTTCCCAGACCATCTTGCCTGCCCTCCTCTAAAAAAGTTTCAGTTTATCAACATCCTTCTTAAACTGGAGTACTCAAAACTGAACACAGTGCTCTAGGGTTTTTTCTGCATCATATTGTTGACTCGTATTTCAATCTAAGCCCATTAGATTCTTCTTTGTACATAGTGCTGTCAAGCTACATACGTGCATCCAATTTTTCTTGTCTAATTGCAGAACTTTATATTTGTCCCTCTTGAAATTCATTTCATTTGTTGTAGTCCAGTTCTCCAGCCTATTAAAATCACATTCAATCCAGATTCTGTCTTCTGAGGTATTAGCTCCCTCTCCCAGTCTGATGTTTTTATACACATTTGATGAGCATCCGCTCTACATCCTCCTTCGTGTCATTTATAAAGATGTTGGACAACTGTACATCCAAGACAGAATCCTTCAACACCAAGGAACCATTGGTGAGTGCTCTTTGCATACATCTCTACCAGCTACAAATTCACTTAACACTAGTATTATCTGGTCCTCATTTCCCAACTTGTCCACAAGAATATCATGTGCTGCCTTTATAAAAGCATTACTAAAATAAAAATACCCTCTATTCACATCATTCCTCCTAACATCCAAGCTTGTAATTCTAAAAGGAATGAGAGAGAGAGGCAAATTAGTCTGACATGATTGTTTCTGAGAAATCCATGCTTGCTTTTAGTAATCACATCATTTGTTCTTGAGTACTTATAGATTGACTGGTTAATGATTTGTCGTAAAACGTTTCCTGATATTGACGTCAAACTGACTTGTCCATAATTGCCTGAGTCTTCTTTTTCCCCCCTTTTGAAGATGGGGACAATATTTGCATGCCTCCAGCTTTCAAGGACCTCATCTCTTTGCAAGAATTCTCAAAAATAATATGCAAAGACTTATTGTGCTTGAAAATTCCTTTAGTACAGTATCTTGAAATGCAGATTATTTTGGCCTTGTATTCCTGTATCACCTATTTATCTGTTTGGGGCAGCAGCACTATTGATGCACAACTGATTCCGCTTTTGCCAGGTTCAGCACTGTTTTCTCTTTGGGGAGGCAGAAGAAAAGTGGATGTTGAACTGTTTTGCATTCTTTCTGACACTCTTTAGCATTTCTCCCTATCCTTCATGCAGTGGACCTAGTACTTCCTTGTTCTTCCTTTTCTTGCTTTGAATATAATCATAATTATACATTTTTATTATTTTCAGCTTCTCATGCAAGCCTGAAATCTGGTTTTTAATCTTTAACCAAGTACTGGCTACATATTTGCACTTTTCTAAGGAATTTTGCCCCATAATCCATTTATTATACAACCCCCCTTTTAAATTTTATCTCATCCAAAAGCTCCTTATGCTGCCACCCTAGTAGTTCCTGGACATCATTCCCACTTTTCCATCTTGTTGAAATTATTTGCTGTTAAGCCTTCAATATTTCACCTCACATGAACTCTCTTCCACCATGAACGTCCTTCTATGTGATTACTTTTGACTATGTGATCTCATCCAATATTTCCTTTACTGAAGTTAGTTTTCTTAAAAGCTATCTTCAGCTTTCCCTTTCTTTGATTTCTTTCCTCTCAAAATTCACACTACAAGTTCATGCTACATGTTGGTGAGGATCAGGCCCAAAATAGTTTATTTTGTTGCTTTTTCTGCTGTCTGAAAATGAAATGTTCAGCAAGGCAACTCAGAGCCTCACATTTGTTGGACCTTTTTGGCAGTGTTTGTCTTCTAACAAACAGAAGCACACTTGATGTCTCATATTACTACTATATTTCTCTTTTGGAATGTTGGTTATGTGGTCTAGAAAGGCACCATCCTTTCTAGTCTGGCTTGATGTTTATTACAGGTCCCATACTGATGTCATTAGTGTTTCCTTCTCCTATAATTTTTATCCAAAAGCTTCCAGCCAACTTTCCAATCTTCTGGTCATGGATCTCTTCACAACTGCATATGTCCTTTAATATAATGCTACTTCTTTTGTCTTCCTGTTGATGCTGTTCCTTTCAAATAGGATATACTCCACAATTTCTATTTTTCAGTTGTGTGACTCATCCTGCCAGGTTTCAGTAATGCCTGTCCAGTGATATGTGCCCTGAGGCTTTAAAAGATCAAGTTCATCTTGTTTGTTCTCTGTGTTCTGTTCATTAGCATAAAAACCCTGGCCATTCCTTCCAGCTTTTTTGTCCACAGGTTTTTTCCCCTGTCTGTAGTTGGGTTCTCATATCACCACTCTGTTTCCTGTGCATCATTACTGCTGTTGTCCTCATTAATTGGTGCACCCTTGTCCACAGAAATGCTGTCTCCTTCTCCTGCAAGGTTCAATCTAAAGCTTTCCTAATCAGGTTTGTGAAACTCCAAGCACAACACATTTTCCTCATCTTCTGCATGGAGCAGCCAACTCCTTGCCAGAGATCTTTCTTATGAATGCACAGATTATGGTCCAAGAAACCAGACCTTTCCTATCATATCAGGCAAAAACAAAATAAAAATAAAAAATAAAGAAGAGAAAAATGTTGTGGCACCTTAAAGACTAACTGCTATAGTCTAATGTGAATTTTCTTGTGGGTGCCACAATGTTTTATTTTATTTATTTATTTATTCCATTTATACCTCGCCTATCTGGTCATATTGAGAGGGCTTAGAAAAAAGGGTTTGTGGCATCCTTTCCATGTTTAATGGGAGCAGGAGTTGAATAGTATGCTTGGCATGAACTGAACAAGGGAGGAATGACATTGTTACTCTTCAACACAACTCTCACCTACCCCAAAATGTTGTTAGACGGAAACTTCCATTAACCTTGTCAACACAGTTAATGGCAAAAAGTGATGAGAGTATCTGAGGACTATGCATTCTTCACCATTGCGTAAATATACCATACAATTTAGGCAGCAAATATTAAGTGCAACTTTAATTGCAAAAAGGATCATAATTGATAGAAAGATAATCACATGACTGCAATTTATATATACAGGTTTTCCATTTTAAATAACACCTGTGGAGATGAATATCTGGATTATGGTGCCAGAAAGAAGATTTACTTTTTTTCTCTCTCCTAACCACAATCACCCCACCTGCTATTCAGCTTAGGAAAAAGATTTCCAGTGTTTGGCCTCCTGAGCCAAACACTTCAACAAAATTCTCACTGAGGCTAAATGACAAAGTGAAAGGTTTAATCCTCCTCCCCTATGGTTCCTATCTTGACCCATTGCCATTGTTCACCTACTAACTACAGGTTGTGTTACTAGTAATACCAAATTAACACCAGGCCTTATTGTATAGAGTTATAATGGAGGAGGTAGGTGAGAAAAAGAATCTGGAGGGATTGATGAGAGGATTCTTAATTACCAGTACATTTTTCCACTGTCTCAATTTCTAGTGGAATTGTCTCTTCCTGAGCCAGTCTTTTATCAAGTTGTAATAGGGCACACTAATTATATTTTTTCTTCTCCACAGTATCCAAAGCAGAGTTGAACTGAGGAAGTCATTGAAATGTCACTCCTTCAAATGGTACCTGGAAAACGTATATCCAGAACTTAGGTAATAGTCATTCATGTGGGAATTTAAATAGTTTATGCTATCAGCTATACATGTACAACTAAACTTTCCATTTTCCCTTCCCAGGAACAGTTTAAGGATGCAGCCTTATATACACAATCCTTTGAGTAAACTTTTTGACAATATTACTTGAGAGCATTCATAGGGTTCAAGTAGGTTAACCAAGTAATTGTAAACAGTTCATGATTACCCATGCAGGTTTATGATTATATGATAATTTTAACCGAGTTTACCAACCCTCCTCCTATTTGACCTCTCCTATTCTTTTCATTATTTCTGTGGAAGCTGTATAAATCCTATAAAAACTGATAGCTGTAATCCTGAATCCTTTTTCACAGAATTCCCGAGGAATCACTTTACCAGACGGGGATGATACGACAAAGACAGAGGTGTCTGGAGACCCAGAAGTCTGAGGGACAAGATTCCCCAGTTGTGATCTTAAACCCTTGTATCACAAGCAAAGGAGCAGCAGCGGCAGCACAGGTAATTTCTGTAGAGATTAGAAGGCTGGCACAAACGAAGAAGTTATGAATAATTTCCTTATAATGTAGAAATATTGTATAAAATGTGGTGATCCTTACAATGACTGCATAGGATAAGCCCATTTTACAGATGGCAAGCAGTAAAAGTGATTCATGGGGTCACGAAGAGTCAGACATGACTTAAAAACCAAACAACAATAACAAAAGTGAGGCTGAGAAAGCAATTGGCCCCCTGTGAATAAGTAAAGTAGTCTGTTCCAGAGAATAGGGGCCACTACAGAGAAAGTCTTGAGTCCTTGTCTTCGCCTTTCTCACCTCCCTCGGTGTAGCATCATTTGTTGTTGTTTAGTCGTTAAGTCGAAGTCTTGATTCCTTGTCTTCGCCTTTCTCACCTCCCTTGGTGTAGCATCATTTGTTGTTGTTGTTAAGTCGTGTCCGACTCTTCGTGATCCTATGGACCACAGCATGCCAGGCCATCCTGTCTTCCATTGCCTCCCGGAGTTTGGCCAAATTCATGTTGGTAGCTTTGATGACACTGTCCAACCCTCTCGTCCTCTGTCATCCCCTTCTCCTCTTGCCTTCACACTTTCCCAACATCAGGGAGTCTTCTCTTCTCATGAGATGGCCAAAGTATTGGAGCCTCAGCTTCAGGATCTGTCCTTCCAGTGAGCACTCAGGGTTGATTTCCTTCAGAATGGATAGGTTTGTTCTCCTTGCAGTCCAGGGGACTCTCAAGAGTCTTCTCCAGCACCACAATTCAAAAGCATCAATTCTTTGGCGGTCAGCCTTCTTGATGGTCCTTCTTTATGGTTCTTTATGATGCTTTATGTAGCATCATAGCTGTTATGATTTGTTAACACTGATCCCCCCCTTTCTCTTTATGTTTTAGAATAGAAACTTAGGAAAGGAGAACAAAATAAATCTTTTTAACATCATTTCTAAAAACGCCCTTTAAAAGTAACATTTGGAAGTACATAGAAAACATTTTTGTTACATCAATGAAGTAATTTCATTGCTGTTTGTTATTTTACCTTTGAAATGCAACTTGGTAATACCCTTGTTATCCCAAAATTTACCAGTTACATGTAACTGTGTTACTAACAAACTTTGGTTTAGATTATGGGAACACGTGGGTGTGCTCTTGAACAGTCTTGTAAAACTATAGCCAGTGTGGAAAGCAGCAGGCAGAGTTATAACCAGCCTGAGTTCTACGGATCATGGAACAGAAAATAAATAAGTCAACTTGGTATGTTTAAAACATTGCAAAGAAGCTGAAGAAAGTACCCTAGAATTAGTGAATTAGTTCCCTGTGCAGTACAGCTGCTAATAACTCTGTTTTCTGGAAACTTTCGGGGGGGGGGGAAGCCATTTTTTCTTGAGTAAAATAGCAAGGGGGAGGAAGTATACTGTGCTTCACATTCCTGGATATAAAGTAAAATTTGTTCCTACCCTGAGCTAGCATCACCTGCACAATGAAAGACATCACACCTTTAAATCACAGGCATGAGGAGATAATAGTGTGACGCTGTGTATTTCCTAAAGTTGAAGTAAAGGAAATTTCAGTGTTGTCACTTTAAAATGATAATTTTAGCTTATAGAAGGGGGAGCGCACCTTTTTCCTTTTCCTTTTGTTGCTGTTAAAGTGGGACCTAATTGTTAATCTAGTTCAGAGAATACTCTCTGATTGACATAGCACAGTTTTCCCTTTAGTGATTGGGGGGTGAGGGGAGGAAATGAGGTCAGCCTCATTAAGCTCCTTCTGCTTTAATAGGCAATTTAATATTGAATGAATGCAGAGTACAAACTTAACTACATCCCTGCAATTCAGTTCAATTTTTTTTCCTGAGACAGAGAAAAGCATAAATAGGTCTGAAAGATGAGAGGAAATTATAATTCTAATTTCCTTCCTCTCTTGATTCTTGAAGAAGAATTTGTGGGCGCGATGGTAAAACTGTAGTCACAAAACAGATGGATGGTGGTCTCAGTTTGGCTTAGTTCAGGGTATACATTCCGAGCACACAATACAAAATAATTCAGAAAAGGTACTGTTTGAACTTCAGTCGCAGATGTCCAGCTTGAACATCTATACTGAGAACAAGGATGCAGATCCTCAGTTGTCCTTACACGTGAAGATGAGGAAGCACAGTGGAAAACTGCAGAATGTTGTCGTTGTTTCGACTTATATGCCACCCCATAATGCTAAAGTACTCTCTGGGTGGCTTACAACACAATGATTCAGGGAACACTATGCCTCCCCACAAACTCTCATTTTACCAGCCTTGGAAGGACAAAGGCGAAGTCAAACCTTGGGCCAACTACCTGAATCCATTAGGATTAAACTCAGGTCGTAAGCAGAAGCTTGACTGCAGTACTGCAGTTTAACTGCTGCACCATCTGGCTCTTTTATATAAGATGGAAAATGACAAGGGCTGTTGGTTTCTTGCATGACCTTTTAAGGATTACAAGCATCAGAAGGATTGTTTGTGTCTTCTGTAACAGGCCAAACTAATAGTTCCCTACCTTGGGTAACCAAGGTGTTTTGGACTGCATCTCCCAGAAACCCTGGCCAGCACAGCTGCTGATGAAGGCCTATGGGAGTTTTAGTTAAGAACAGCTGGATTATCCAAGGTTGGGAACCACTGGCCTAAATGTTCTATAATTATGGTTTACTTTTCATAGAGAAAGGATATTTGTCTTGTATAGAGACAAACTGCACAAATTATGGAGACCTTGGAAAATGAATAATGTCCCTTGATTCACTCTGAATATGACTCGGATGAATCCTGTTTGACTTGGAAGTTCCTCACTGAGGAACCATATTGAGTTAACAGATGAGAATGAAGAATTTAGCAAATATCCCAAAATTGGGGACATCATACCTTTCCTGATTTTTGAGAAATCTCTGTGTCCTCTCTCACTCTTTTACTGGCAATTTCAACACCACAGATTTTAGATTTATAAATACAGAAATATAGTGAAAATATTCAAAATTTAAAAATAATCCCAAATAATTTGTTTGCAAAAAAAACAAATAATAAAAATGTACTTAATGTACTTTATCCTATTAATTATGACATATCAAAATAATTTTCCTCAAATGTGAAGAAAATTAATCTGTAAAATTGATCAGAAAAGTTTATATACTGCTTAATAATATAAATAATGCTTCCTGATGTATGTTCCATCACAAAGTTCCTCAAAAACATGAAGCTTTTAGTTCTCAGGAACTCTCCATGACAAAAATAAACAAAAAAAAATATTATAGTTAATCTTAAATGTATTGTACCCTGTGGTGAATTTTGGCTTTTAAGACTGAGCCAGATGGCTCAAAACAAGAAGCAAGCTTCCACATTCTTCAGAACACTTTGTCATTACTTTCCCTTTTAAAAAAGCATAAACAGGCAAGATGTTGTTAAAGGATTTTCCTGTGTCCTCTGACATCTTCCCAGTGAAGCAAAAAAGAGCACAAGCCACAGCCAGCATTGCCTAGGTATTAGGAAGTGACTGTAATGGGCGTACGGATGGAACCATGAATAGTGGGAATGCTAGCAGGAACTTCCAGTAGCACTTGAGGAGCACAGTTCATACTGGAGATTGGGCAAATACCCTAGGCAGCAGTAGCAAGCAGACTGGAGCAGCTGAAGGCCAATGGTGGGTGGAAACTGTGTCAACTGCACGGGGCACAGGAGGAGTGAGTGAGCACAGTCTTGGAGGAGCAGTTGGAAGAATGAAAGAGGCATATGGAGGGAGCAGAGTGACTCAAGGGACATTATTGATTTTCCAAGGTCTCCATAATTGGTGCAGACTGTCTCTATACAAGACAAATGTCCTTTCTCTATGAAAAGTAAATCACAATTATAGAACATTTAGGCCAGTGGTTCCCAACCTTGGATAATCCAGGTGTTCTTAACTAAAACTCCCAGAGGCAGGTGGAAGGGGCAGCAAACTGAAGCATGGCATACCTAGTACTGTGAGCAGAGTGTGCCATTCTCTCTTACTTAAAGGGGACTTCAGGGAAGCCTACCAAAATTAGGCTAACCCTACAGATCCAGGTTCTTGCCATGAGTGATATGGACTGACAATGCCTCCTGCCTGAGATAACTCTTGCTTTTTGGACACACTAATTGGTGGGCAAGACAGCAGTCACACTGCTGCCTTGGCCATACCTCCCTAAACAGACCCCTCCTCAGCCCAGTAAGACAAAGGATCAGTCTCTTTTGGCTTGCAGGCCATCAGTATGTATGCCACAAACACATGTACTTAACCCTCAGTTGGAAGTTACAGGCCCTGAATCCCCAGCAAGGAAAGCTTCCCCAGATTCTGTGCATCCCTTCTGTGTTACATGAAGTCTTTACTCCCTTAGGTCCAGAGCCAATCAATTTCATTAGAAATTCTCACATATTGATATCGGGTAGGGTGCTTCCCATACCATACATACATAATGTTATTCACATTTACCATATTGTCTCATACTCATCTTTCCCTCTCCTAATAAATACTGTAATTGCCTCGTAACAGCTATAGAGACTGGATCCATAAACATAGTGCTTGACTCCCAAGACTGAGAGTGCTTGTCTCTGAGATGCTGTCTCAAGTCAGAGACTTGGCATTATCCAGGCTTGTTTATGTCTCATTTACTGAATGAATTGATTGATTTAACACTTCACCAGAGAAATGCATCTGAGAATAAATAATTGATTGTAATTTTGCCCCGGTTTTGTCTAATGAAGATGTCACCATCTTGGCTTTCTGTTAGAACATGGCATCAGTTGATATTAAACTTTGCAGTAACCTTCTTGAAATAGATTTCTGACTCTGGGATTCATTTAATAAATCCATTAATCATTAGCAGTTCCAAGAAACCTAACAAGCTTTAGAAAACAAGTCGGAAGCCTTTTAAGCCTGGATACACTTGAGCACATCATCAGGAGCAGTGGTGGTAGCACTAAAATGGCTCTGTGTTCAAACAGAAGCTGTTACTCTGTTATAAGAAAAAAAGAA